TAAGGAGCAGCACCCCTTAGGCCAGAGCTAAGATCGTTATATCACTAAACCGGGCAAGGAGGCACAGGTGAGCGGCAGGTTAGGTGGCACCTGGGACATTGCAGGACTCTCACACCCACAGTGTGGATGTGCCAGAGCCCTTCCAGCAGTGAGGAGGATGAACAGCCAACCACACAGGCCCCAGAGGGGGATGCAAGTTAAAGCCACAGGCCAGCATCCGGGGCCTCAGAGGCTCGGTGGAGAGGGTTAGAGGAATGCTCCAACCCACAAGGGTCGGCCTTCTGTTGACCATTCCAAAAAGGCTGCTGTGGAAACTGTCTTTAGAAATATCCAGAAAAATGCCACCGTGCAGATGAGTTGAGGCTGCCACAGTCCCCGAGCGTCCCTGCGGGGTGAGCTGGTCTCCGCCGTGGGGGACCAGTGGAGCCTCCATTAGCAGAGTCAGTTAATCACACAAACCTCCCGTAGCTCGCTCCACAGTCCGCAGCAGCTGCTGAATCAGCTGTGCAGATCCCTTCCAGGGTTGTCTAGTCTCGGGAGGACCTGCAGCCCGGAGCCGATGGTTTCCTTTAGGTACAGCTGCCAAGGTCTGGGGTAGGGTGGGAGAAAGTGGGCGGCCACAAATCAAATGTGGTGGACGCTCTCTCGCCTGTCACAGGAGCATGAATCTAGAGCTTGTCCCTGACGACAGCTAAACTGTCATTATTGGGTTGTTTTTTGTTTTTGTTTTGTTTTTGAAGTGCTGTCAGGACCTCACACCCGCTAGGCAAGCCCTCTACCACTGAGCCTCGCTCCTGGCCCTAAACAGACACTTTTAAGTGAAAACAAAAAACAAAGCTATTCCTGGTAGAGCRGCACACGCCTGTGATCCCAGCAGCTTGGGAGGCTGAAGCAGGAGGATCGTGAGTCCAAAGCCAGCCTCAGCCACTTAGCAAGGCATTTAGCAACTCAGCAAGACCCTGTCTGTAAATAAAATATAAAAAAGGCTGGGGATGGGGCTCAGTGGTGATCACCCCTGAATCCTCAGTGCTGAAAAAAAACTAAAAAGTTATTTCTAAGAAAGGAGTGGAAAATGAGGAGACTTAGAGGTGATGGTGTCATACTTCAGCTGCCCGGGAGTCCCTAAGTCCTTCAGTTCCCTGGACGGACTGAAYGGAGGCGTCTCTGTCATGAGAACTCATCACGATCGTTAGCGATGGGAACCCAATTCTAAGTGCATGGCACAGACTCACAAACAGAGCAGGTTAATAACAAGTCAAGGAGGGCGACTCCAGGGTTCAAGCCACTTCACCTGGTGGCCTCCCCTTCGGCAGCCCCACAGCATGGCAAGCTGGCCCGCCACCTTCCTGTTCCAGCAGCTGTGTCTGTCCCCCCACGAGGGGTCTGACTGCCTCCCGGGGAGCTCATCCTCCCCTCAGTGTGTCCCAGGACAGGGAGTCTCTCGAGCCTCTTTTGGCTCCTCTGGCTCCATGCCTTGATTTCTCGGTGGCTTCCGCACACAGGCGGGTGATTCCAGAAGAGAATCCATTGTAAGTGACCCGGGCCTGGGGACTTAGATTCTTTGTCACTAGCTAACTCTCTGGTGTCCAAACTCCAAAGACGCTGCTAGAGAACTTGGATAAGTCTGGCTCTGTGCTGCAGGTGTTGGGGGACCGACTGAATGTCCTGGTGGGTCAGTCCTGAGGCACAGAGACTCACAGTTGTGTGAAGGTCGGCTGATTCCTTCTCTCAAACTCCACGTGTGACTCGAGGCCAAGGTAGTGCTGAGCCGGAGCTGTCGGATAAACCTGAGGCCTTATGAGTTCCTCAGGAGGAGTTCACCAGGGGTCAGAGGGCACGGCTGTGTCTCCGGGGTTCCTACCGGAAGCTCGCCTCCCCTCTGTGGGTGAGGTCCAGGGGGGAAGGGTTTGGCACTCCGGGACGATGCTGACGGCTGTTTGGTCCTGCTCCCTCACAGGGCATCTACAGCTGCATTCATGGAGTGCACATCGAAGAGAAGAAGAAATCCCCAGACTTCAGCCTGACGGGGTCCCAGAGCAACATGCTGAAGCTCCTTCGGTCGGCCAAGAACACGTCCAACATGTCCAACATGAACTCCAGACTGGACTCACCCAAAAGAGCCCCGGACTTCGCCCAGAGAGGGTCCCTCATCATGGACATGGTCTCAGACAAGGGGAACCTCATCTACTCGGACAACAGGTCCTTCCAGGGCAAGGACAGCATCTTTGGGGACAACATGAATGAGCTCCAAACGTTCGTCGCCAACAGGCACAAGGATAACCTCAACAACTACGTGTTCCAAGGCCAGCACCCTCTCACCCTCAACGAGTCCAACCCCAACACGGTGGAGGTGGCCGTGAGCACAGAGTCCAAGGGCAACTCCAGGCCCCGGCAGCTGTGGAAGAAGTCCATGGAGTCCCTGCGCCAGGACTCTCTGAGCCAGAACCCCGTGTCCCACAGGGAMGAGGGGACCACCGTGGAGAATAGGACCCACTCCCTAAAGAGCCCCCGGTACCTTCCGGAGGAGGTGGCCCACTCGGACATCTCCGAAGCGTCCAGCCGTGCCACGTGCCACCGGGAGCTGGACAACAACAAGAGCCACAAAACCAAGGACAACTTCAAGAGGTCCCTGGCCTCCAAGTTCCCCCAGGACTGCGGCGAGGTGGAGCGCACCTACCTGAAGACCAAGGCGGGCTCGCCCAGGGACAAGATCTACACCATCGACGGGGAGAAGGAGCCCAGCTTCCACCTGGACCCGCCCCAGTTCGTGGAAAACCTGGCCCTCCCGGAGAACGTGGGCTTCCCGGACACCTACCAGGATCACAGCGACAACTTCCACAAGGCGGACTCCACGCTGCCCCTGAACCGCAACCCGCTGCGCAACGAAGACGCGCTTCCCAACAACGACCACCAGTACAAGCTCTACGCCAAGCACTTCACCCTCAAAGACAAGGGGTCCCCCCACAGCGAGGGCAGCGACCGCTACCGCCAGGGCTCCACCCACTGCAGGAGCTGCCTCTCCAACCTGCCCACCTACTCCGGCCATTTCACCATGAGGTCCCCCTTCAAGTGCGACGCCTGCCTGCGGATGGGCAACCTCTACGACATCGACGAAGACCAGATGCTGCAGGAGACGGGGAACCCCGCGCCCCGGGAGGAGGTCTACCAGCAGGACTGGGCGCAGAACAACGCTCTCCAGTTCCAGAAGAGCAAACTGAGGATCAGCCGCCAGCACTCCTACGACAACATCCTGGATAAGCCCAGGGAGATGGACCTGGGCCGGCCCTCCCGGAGCATAAGCCTCAAGGACAGGGAGCGGCTTCTGGAGGGCAACTTGTACGGGAGCCTCTTCAGCGTCCCCTCCAGCAGACTCTCGGGGAACAAGAGCTCCCTCTTCCCCCAGGGTCTGGAGGGCAGCAAGAGGAGCCAGTCTCTGCTGCCAGACCACACCTCCGACAACCCCTTCCTGCACTCCCACGCGGATGACCAGCGCCTCGTTATCGGGAGATGCCCCTCGGACCCCTATAAACACTCRTTGCCCTCGCAGGCCGTGAACGACAGCTACCTTCGATCGTCCCTGAGGTCCACGGCATCGTACTGCTCCAGGGACAGTCGGGGCCACAGCGATGTGTATATTTCGGAGCATGTTCTGCCTTATGCTGCAAATAAGAACAATATGTACTCTACCCCCAGGGTTTTAAATTCCTGCAGCAATAGACGCGTGTACAAGAAAATGCCTAGTATCGAATCTGATGTTTAAACTCTCCCATTACTGTTTTATCACAGGGAAACACGGAGTGGCGCGCGCTCTGGAGGTGAATGTGGTCGTCCGACAGTGCCCTGCAAGGAGGAGAAGGCTTAGAGAGGTCATCTTTGTTGGCTCTTTTGCACATGGCTCATGCCATAATCTTTCACTCAAGGAATCTTTGAGCTGTGTGCTGAGCACAGCAGAAACCAGAGAGTTGAGTCCTTAACCAAAAACAAACAAAAAAGAGGGCAGGTCTCCGGACATGCCTTACCAGGTGTGGTGGCAATAATGGCCCAGGAGTGTCGATGGCGATGTTAGGGTTCCCTGTATGCAAATCCCATTCACATCGGTCCACCATGTAATTTCCTCATCTGAAATGCCTAATGGTTTCTCTAATACAGAATAGCAATATGGTATGCATGTGACCCTGACACAGACCGTAGGACAGTTAGGACCGCACCCGCACCGGAGCCAGGTGGACCTGTGCGGGAGGTTAGGAAGCCCGGCTCGTGACCGTTCTCACTTTGTTGTTATGCTGCCCCTCATGCCCAGGCCCGAGAGCCCCAGGCTCCCCCAAGAATAGCAGATCAGCGTGTGCGTGGCTCCTCCGCTCCCTTCACCACGTCCCTCCAAGACACAGCTGGAGCGAAACGCCACAGGGACTCTCAGGCGGAGCCACAGGGACCTCTCTGGATGTTGATGTGCGTTTTCCTCTCATCCTGGGCTCTGATGGTCTTGCTCARAGCCGCATAAACTAACGCGTGTGTGTCCTCGATACCTAAGTGTGGATCTTCTGTCCGCGACACAGTGGCCGTTGTAGTTGACCCCGAAGACTCCTGTGTACGTAAGTTCGCATTTCCTCCCTTCTGGTGACGACTCAGGGTTGTATAGTATCTGTTACCCCAACCCTCCCAGCGGAACCGTAACTTGTCCCGTCCCCCGAACAGCCATGGTGGTGTCTAATTAGCTGTGTGTTTCTGTTCCCAGAGTTGTTAATGTGGTGACACGTGCCAACAGCCATATGCGTACAGTGATCTGTCAGGAGCACCGTGCCATCTGTCTGCCCGAGCCTAGCATGGTTTTAGGTTTATCTTCCTTAATGTCACAAAACCCTCTTGGACGCTCATTTCCACCCCAACCTCCTCAAATCAAAAGTCTCCAAAACATGAGACACTCATGCCTCCTCCCTGAGCACCCCCCAAACTGTGGATGAACTGAAGGAGCCGAGCGCGCTCTCTGCTGACACACACACACACACTCTCTCTCCAAGGCAAACTGCCTCGTCAGCACCAACAGAAACATGTGAAAACCCCCAGACGCGTTTGTCTCATCTCATTCTTACTCTGCTAAAACCCGGGCACGCACGGCACGGGTGACTCTCGTTACCAAAAACAGTTGGAGGCAGAGAGGGGAATATTGACACTTGGGAAACTTCTTAGCACAGCACCTGCCGCATTAAAAAAAAAAAAAAAAAAAAAAAAGCAAACAGAAAAAGTAAAGGTCGTTGTTATTTTATGACACTTTTTCAGACCAGAATTTTCTAGTTTCAAAATCAAATATCGTAAAACCAGCAAACGATATGCCTGAAACGTTTTGTATGGATCTACTCTATTAGTATATTTTAAATACACCACTATCCTGGAAATAGTCGGGCTCATAGCCATCGGTTGGTGCAGAGGACCTGTCTCCTTGGTAGCCTCCTGCAGAAACCTGGGCCGTGGTGGAACTAGCCTGACCATTTCCCGGTTCTTACCGACGTTTGCTTGGGCTCTTGGAGAAGGAAGCAGGGTGGCAGGTTGAGCAAAAACGACCCTTTTCTCCCCCTCAGGCTGCGTTCTGTTCCACAGGCAGCGTTGTCCTCCAAGCGGACAGAGGCTGGGGATGGCTTTGCTCTGGAAAGGTGCCCTGCCCCTGACACTCCCATGGTGGTGAGAAGGAGCTGGGGTGAATCTGAGGGTCCGCAGCAGGCAGCAGAGGAGGCCTGGGCGGGCGGGAACATCTTCCTATCGTCTAGGGCAGAGGAGGCGGAGGTGGTGCCGGTGACCCACCGGCTTGAAAATGACATCTTGTTTCTTGGATGCTGCATCTTTTCAAGACCCCAAAATGGGGAGACCTGGATAAAAGGACCTGGGATGGTCACCCCTGTTTCTGACCTTGATTTAAGTTTCTGTGGCTGCGCTGTCTCTAGCCCCTTCTGACTCTGCCCTCCCATGGCCTCCCAGCCCTGGGCGTACCCAGCCGAGGCCACTGCCATGTCCTCATGAGCCTGGCCTGTCTTAACAGGAAGTGAGTTCTAAAAGCCTCCCCAGAACACAGGGCAACGAGGCTTTCTGCCTTCCTCGGGTGTCCCCCGAGCCCAGGGGGCTGCCTCATGCCACACACAGTCTCCACGGAGAGTGACAGTACAGTTGGGCTGACTCCCTCCGTCAGCAAGCCGTCCCCTAAGATCAGCCTCCCTGGCTGCTGACCCCAGACATTTATGGAGGAAGAGACTAAAAACGTGGCTTTGGGGAAAAGCCCACAATCATATGGTGGGAGAAATGGACTTCTCTTCAGATCCGAGGTGTGTTTAAAACTAGTCACAGTGAAAACAGTTGGAAATTAGAATCTGTGCCATAGGCACGTTCTCCATCCCCCGTTCCCTCACGGACACTTAAGGGCCATAGCTTCAACAGGAAGATCAGCCACTGTCGGACGGGCAGGTTCCAAGTCAGAGACCTACTGTGAAGCCATGCACAGGGAGCCCAGGTCAGTTCAGTTCTTTCAGGAAGTAAAACCAGAGACGTGGCGCCCATGAGAATGGGCGCCTCTGGTGCGGGAGGTGAGGGGAGCTCGTGGGAGCCCCGAGCTCTGCACCCGTTACAGAGGGCTCCGTACCGTCCCAGCCCCGAGATCTGGGCGGCTGATGCCGTCTCAGCAGAAYGCCCAGGTTTTACCTGGGTTAAGGCAGAGCTGCCGTCTCTCCTGACATTTCAGTGACCACAAGTGACTTCCCCCTTCTGTACCAGTCCTCAGAGAGGTGCACGGGGATGCGATGGCCAGGTTCCTGCCCGTGGGTGGTAGCACACACGGTCACCTAATTGAGAATATTCTGTGAGAGAGTCTTCTGGGCATAAACTCTACTCTGGGAACCTTGGTGTTCAGGAAAGTCGTTCCGTCAACCTTGCTCCTGCGGGCTCTGGGCTGTTTGTGGCTCTGTTCAGTGCTCCAAGCAGACAGTTCCCAGAGGGTCCGTCTCCCCACCAGTGGGGTTCCAAGAGCTGGAGGGATTATAACCTCACCACCCTGTCCACCTCTCTCCGTTATTTTACCCACCACCACAAATGAGTGTCTCATGGATTCTCCTTGGTTTTCTCATCTTATTTCCCAGGAAAGACCTCATACTTAGCTTTTCTGATGAAAACATTAAAATTCACCCATTGCGGCAAAATCTGTCACATCAATTCACACATACTTTCTGGGGAGAAAAAAAAAAGAAAAGTACACCTTGTTTACAAATGAAATAGTTTCATTTAAATGGGACTTGAGCCAAGGTGGTTAATTAGTCAAAAGATCCACAGTCGTCAGCGGGCACACATTGTTTATTCCATTTGATATGTCTACTACGGATGTGTATTTAATATTCTGCATCCTTCTCAGGAAATGACAAATGCCCTGAATTCTTTGCAAATAGAATTGCTAATGAAAAAGAGAAAAAGAAAGTTGGTGTTAATTAAATGGTGATTAAAAATTTATCTCCTTTAAACCTAAAAAGTGCAGCTTTAATAATCGGTCGTCCTATAAATAAATACCTTGCACTGAAATCCCTTGYGGTTTAAGACCTAAATAAATACTAATTTGACAAAACCTAAATGCCCTTCAGAGGAGCTGAATATGTTCGTTAGCAGGATGCACATGTCTGGACTGTTTCTCTGTGCGGAGCCGTGATGCGTGAATCCTTGAGGGATCGCAGGTTGTTTCCGAAACGGAGCCCGTGTCTGTGTGGACCGCGGCTGCCGTAGACGGAATTGAACTTAAAAAAAAAAAAAAAGATGGAAGTGGTTGGAAGCCCAGTCCATTGGCTGGTTTGTGAATGTTAGGGTCCCAGGCCAGGTCTGTCTTCCTTCCAACTGCATCGTTTTATGTTGACTTGAGTCAAAATCAGGCCCTTTCTGGATACTTCATCTTTTTTGCTAAACAGGGTTGAAAAGTGCCAATGGAAAGATYATTCTGGGTCCGTACTTGAAAAGTCGTCCCAATGCGCGGCTTCCCTTGCCCCCGCCCCCCCCCCCCCAAGCCGCACTGTGTTCATCTGTCTTTGTCCATTTGGGTTCTGCTTTGCCACCTGGTGTCTGTCAGCTCAGAGCTGGGAACACCAAGGCCATGTACCATGTATATAATAGAGGCCTGATTCCCACCGTCCACACCCAGGTGTATTCTCCCGCGGAGTCGTACACATGCACCGTGTTTGTGAAAAAGCCAGCGGCAGTGGTGGCGCTGACACCGGGAAACCCCGGTTGGTGGTCTTGGCGGGAGGCTGCTTCCGTAGAGAAGGCATTCAGTATTTTTTTAATCTCAGTTCTAGGGAGGGTAACAGAGCCCAGGTGGGATTTGGGGTGTTGGTATTCTTGGTCCCTTAAAAGGCAAAACTCTGGGGTGAGCCATCGTGGAATAGGTGCTGTTTACATTTGTTCTAAAGAGGACGCTGACGTGGGCTTGGATTTCTCTAAACCCATCCAAAGACATAGATTTCCTCCTTAAACCCCTCACCTTCCTCCCCAACCCCTGCATTTCTGTGCCTAGAAGTGCCGAAGGTGTAGAATCGCCAAGAGATGCCTGGCGGGAGGGTCTGAGAAGAAACAGAGTTCGTGGGACTGCACGGGACCTGGGGAAGGAGGAGGAGACGAGAAACTGGAGCTGGACGGGGCAGGGATCTGGGGAAGACACCGAGTGGGGAGGACTGGCGAGGGGTCTCGTTTCTGGCTCTGCTCCCCTTACCAGGCTGAGCCCCTCCTAGGTCTTTTCAAGGAGGACCCTTCTGAGAACCTCGGATCAGAATCATAAAGGCCCGTAGAATTGACCTGGCTTCTGTGCCCGGTGCAGACAGACCCGCAAAGCCCCTGTG